GGTTCTTGGTCTCCCGCCTTCTACTGGTCCTGCTCCTCCCTTAGAGTGTCCACAGCCTGTCCAGTCGCAGTCACAGTTACAGCCCGCCTCCCCCCTGCCTGCTCCTTCGCCCTACAATGGTCCTACTGGAGGTCTTGCTGAGCGTCGTGAGCGTGCGTCTCGTCCTGCGTCGCCTCTTCGTGCTGCTCGCACTAGTGGTCGTGCTCCGCGTCTGCGTCCTCCTGCGGTCCCAGCCACACACCAGATGGCACTGCGTCCTTCCACTGCTCCTCTGCGTGTCCCGTTGCCGTCTCCTCCAGAGTCCTGTCTTCCTGTTCTTGCTGACCCGGAGTCTGACTCTCTTCGTGCTGCCAGTCCTACTGTCACGCGTCTTCTCGCTACTGTTGTCACTGACCCTTCCTTTGAGTCCACAGGTGCGTCTGCCTTAGTTGCTGAGCTTGTCGACTTTGCTGCTCGTTGTCGTCTAGACTACGCTGCTAGTCTTGTTGCTGAGTCTGAGTCTGTCTGTCCTCCGTCCGTCGGGGGTGAGTGTGCTCTTAGCACGGACGTCCTTGAGGACAGGCAGGAGGAGTTCCAGTGTTTCGCTGCTGCTTTGCCTCATCTCGTGTCCACGCTGATTGCCCCTGAGGGAGACCCGGATGCACCAGATATCCCGACTCCTCGATTGTACGCTGAGGCGATAGAGGGTCCCTACTCCTCACAGTGGCAGTCAGCCATGGACGCAGAGATGGCTTCCTGGAAGTCCACAGGCACTTACGTCGACGAGTTTCCCCCACCTGGGGCGAACATCGTCAGTGGCATGTGGATTTTCAGGGTGAAGCAGCCGCCGGGTTCTTCGCCTGTCTTCAAGGCGCGTTACGTGGCTCGAGGCTTCAGTCAGCGGCAGGGAGTTGACTACTTTCAGACCTTCTCTCCCACCCCGAAGATGACCACTCTTCGGGTGCTGCTGCACATAGCCGCTCAGCGCGACTACGAGCTTCACTCTCTTGACTTCAGCACAGCTTTCCTGCAGGGCAGCCTGCACGAGGAGATCTGGCTGCGCCGCCCACCTGGCTTCACTGGGTCGTTTCCTCCTGGTACCCAGTGGAGCCTCCGGCGGCCAGTCTACGGTCTCCGCCAGGCGCCCCGTGAGTGGCACGACACACTGAGGACTACACTTGCGGCTCTTGGGTTTGCTCCTTCTACTGCCGACCCGTCGCTGTTTCTGCGCACCGACACCTCTTTGCCGCCGTTCTACATCCTCGTGTACGTCGACGACTTGGTCTTTGCCACAGCTGACACTGCTGGACTCGCCCACGTGAAGTCCGAGCTGCAGAAGAGACACACGTGCACAGACCTGGGTGAACTGCGCAGCTACCTTGGCTTGCAGATCACCCGGGACAGAGCACAGCGCACCATTACCCTGACTCAGTCACACATGGTGCAGCAGGTCCTTCAGCGCTTCGACTTCACGTACTCCTCGCCTCAGGCCACTCCTCTGTCTACTCGCCACTCGCTCTCAGCTCTGCCTTCGGATGAGTCCGTAGAGCCGAGTGGCCCGTACCCAGAGCTTGTTGGCTGCCTCATGTACCTGATGACCTGCACACGACCTGACCTTGCATACCCTCTTAGCATCTTGGCACGCTATGTTGCTCCTGGGAGACACCGACCAGAGCACATGGCTGCAGCGAAGAGGGTGTTGCGCTACTTGTGCAGTACGTCGGGCATGGGGCTAGTGCTTGGAGGGCGACGTCGAGTGGTCCTCACAGGTCACGCTGACGCTTCTTGGGCTGACGACCAGGCTACGCAGCGGTCGTCACAGGGTTACACCTTCAGCCTTGGTTCCGGCTCTGTTTCGTGGCGGTCTACCCGCTCGTCTTCTGTTCTCGGCTCCAGCTGTGAGGCTGAGATCTACACGGGGGCCATGGCTGCACAGGAGCTACGCTGGCTCACCTACCTGCTGACTGACCTAGGAGAGCCGCCTCGTTCTCCTCCAGTTCTGTACGTAGACAACAAGGCCATGCTGGCCTTGTGTTGGGAGCACAGACTGGAGCACAGAACGAAGCACATTGCTCTTCGCTACTTCCTTGCTCGTGAGCTGCAGCAGCGTGGTCAGCTGCGCCTTGCTTACGTGGCCTCTGAGGCCAACACTGCTAATATCTTTACCAAGGCACTTCCGCCTTGTGATCATCAGCGCTTCTGTACGATGCTAGGTCTTGTGCCTACTTGGCCTCACTTGCTCACTTCTTGACCTTGCTTGTACTGTGATCTTTCTATACCTGCACTTGCTTGTTTACCTTTATATATGATCTTGCATGTGAACTGGCCTTGTGGCCTTGCTCTTGTGCTCGGAATGTGTGGTGACGTTGTGATCCACCCTGAGCTTGCTTTGCTTTGCTTGACTGGTTTTGTGACCTCTTGTTCTCCCCCACTTTGCCTATGGGGGTGTGTCAAACTTATATGCTATAGTCTGTGTAGGCTGTAGTGGGGTAGACAATATGGGGTACAGCATTTCTAGGTTTTCCTACTTGTACCCACCTCTTTCCTAGTTCATTCATTCCTCATTTCTTCACACCTTGCTCGAGAGTTGCAGCAGCGTGGTCAGCTTCGTCTTGCTTACGTGGCCTCTCGGGCCAACACTCCTGATATCTTTACCAAGGCCCTTCAGCCTTGTCATCATCAGCGTTTCTGTACTATGCTAGGTCTTGTGCCTACCGGGCCTCACTTGCTTACCTCTTGACTTAGTGTGTTATGTGATCTTTATATACCTGCACCTGCATGCTTATCCTTGCTAGGTTGAGATCACTGTCTTGCTTGTTCACCTTGCTTTATAATCCTGCATGTGAACTAGCCTTGTGGCCTTGAACTGGTGCTGAGAATGTGTGGTGACGTTGTGATCCACCCTGAGCTTGACGTTGCCTTGTTCTCTTGCTTGTTCCCCACTTTGCCTATGGGGGTGTGTCAGAACTATATTGTAGGTTGCAGTGGGGTAGTCAACATGGGGTACAACTCTTTTAGGTTTTCATACTTGTACCCACCTGCTTGCTAATTCATTCATTCCTCGTTCTTATTCTTACAGCTCTCTATATTTTCCCGTGGAACAGTACTGGACAATCCATCGCTGTACCTTCCTTATTCGTCCGAGCCTGATCGATGGCGTGAATCGGTATTGTGACTCGGTGAGGGTCGGTGGGGTTGGGCGAGCACGCAGTCTCGTCAGTAGTTGGCCCGATTCCTACTGACTGCTGGCATTTCCCTGCCTTGTAGACTCCCTCCACTGCTCTGTTCCGCAGCACCTCAGCTCCTCTGGGCACTCACTCTTGCGATGGCCCAGCCTATTGCAAGCAAAGAAGCGCCCCTTAAACGGCGCGGCAGCTCCATTTGTCGCAACGGCATGTACGATGGTGTGCTCGATCGGTCCTCGAGGCCGATGTCCGTAGTAGGACCCCGGTCTCGGACGGCGCAAAATGTCGATTTTCTCAGCGAGCGCGAGAATCTCGTTGAAATTCGAGAGCCCGCGTAGCATGATATCGTGCGAGATGTCTGTCTTCAGCCCTCCGACGTAACGGTCCACCCGCTCCGCTTCGTGCATGTAGACGACTTGCTCGCATAATGCGAGAAAACCGCTCGTGTAGCCTTGAACCGATCCAAGCTGCCGCCAAGTACGCAGTATCTGACGCGCCGAAATAGAAGCCGCGATCGGCTCAAAGCGCGCCCAAAGCCCTGCGCACCACGTGTCCCACGTGCTGTACTAGGCGGTTTCGCAGAATGAACTCCAAGTGACGGCTGGGCCCGTGGGCCCTTCCTCTTGCGACGATGGCTAATTGGCACGTGGCGACGTCACGATGACTCGCCACCAGTCTATGGCGGGGCCCCTCAGCAGCGAGATGGCGTACTGGATCTTCGCTGCATCCGACTCGACGTAGTTCGCGTCGAAAATGACGTTCATCGTGAACACCCACGATTGAACCGTCGGACCTCCACGCTGGCTGCGGCTTGAGTGGCATTGGTGCCATGATGGCGTGGTCGCCACTTGTCGCCGCAAAGTCCACGTGCCGACGGGCTTCGCGAGGCTCCCGCGGGCTTGGCGCGGCCCTGTTCCTCTCCATACCATGAATCGATTGAGCGGCGCCATCACTGGCTGCGCCTGAGCGCTGTCCCATGTCGTTTTTGTGTCGGTGTGCCTGATGAAACAACGATCGGTTCCTCCGATTGTGCGGGTGCATTTGCAAGTGCGTATGGTGGCGCTGGAGCATTCATCGTGGATTGCTGACGAGCGGAGTCGCGTTCCGCCGTGAGTGTCGCAATTTCGAGCGCCGAGTCTTTGATTTGGCGCACGAGACGGTCGAGTTGCTCCTGCGTCAGTGTTGTGAGAGTGAATTCGGCCATGGCGGGGGTGTCGGGCAAACTCAGCGAGAGCCTCTGTCGTGGCCGTGCGTGCTTACGAGAGAGCACTACGAGCGGCGGTGCGTGTTTCGCTGAGAGACGTCTACCCCCCCCAAAAAAATTGACATAGTGGGGAAAACGAAGGTGTGGGTGCGGCCCGAGAAGACATCGTAGGCTCTGAATACCATGTGTTACGAGTACAATTGAGTGAACGAACGAGAATTGCACTATCGAAGCAAGAGTACAATGAGCGAAGGCATGAGCGAAGAATATATAGCGAAACTACAGTGGTAACGGTAATGCGTGAAAATAGGGTGCGCGACGGGCCTGGCGTCGAGGTTGGGAAATTACGAGGCGGAGGTCCGGAGCGCGGGTTACCAACCGAACCGTGAGGTTGGGTCGCGTCGTGAACAGTGGCGGGAACAGTGTCGAGGCGAATGTCGCGAGTGGTAACGGATTACTGTTGGGTGCTGTTGGCGGGAACAGTGTTGTACGCGCTGAGGAGGGACGCGAAGTAAGGAAAATGATTTTTTCCTTACAAGTACCTTGTGTGGTGCACCGTGCAACTAGGAAACTTCTGCCTTATAGCGTTTCTAGCTTCTTTCACTAAAGCCATTTCATGCACCGCTGTCCTCTTAGTCTCCCTTCGTCAACCCTCTCCTCAACACCTTCGCATCCCCTTTCTCTTCCCCCTCCTCCTTAGTGCCTTGAGTACTTCACCTCAGTTTTCACACCCTCAGATCTCTCATGACCTGCGAACACCCCTCAAAAGCCTACGCTCCTCCCAGTTAGCCCCATTTCCTATCTTCTCCCTCTCTGCTGTTTCACTCCCATCTGCAGTCTCCTCTTTTGCAAGTGGTACAGGCAGAGAAGCAGGTGCAGGTATGGGGGGCAGCGATGGGGGCGCCTTGGGTGGGGGAGCCGACAAACCTGCTGCTGGCGCTGGGAGTAGCGAGGGTGCAGAAGGTGGGGCAGGAAATGTGGGAGCAGGGAGAGAAGCAGCTGCGGAGGGCTGGGGGAGTGACGGGGCTGCCATAGGCAGTGAGGCTGATGCAACAGCTGGAGGAGCAGGGAGAGGGGAGGGTCCAGTTGGCAGGGGAAGAGGCGCAGGCCCGGGGAAAGAAGCGGGTGGTGCTGCCTGGGGGAGCGACGGTGCTGCCAGCTCCTCCGCTGTTGCCTTTACCGCCACGGGGGAAGGACCTGCACTCTTGTCACCATCACTCGGTTGTGGCGCAGGCAGCAAAGCGGGTGCGGATCCCTGGGGCAATGATGGGGCTGCTGCTGGCAGTGGGGCTGATGCAACAGCTGGTGGTGCGGGGAGTGAGGAGGGTGCAGATGGTGGGGGAAGAGATGAGGGCGCGGAGAGAGAGGCGGGTGGTGCTGCCTGGGGGAGCGACGGTGCTGCCAGCTCCTCTGCCGTTGCCTTTACCGCCACGGGGGAAGGACCTGCACTCTTCACTCCGTCAGGCGTGGGAAGCGAAGCAGGAGTGGGGAGAGAAGCGGGTGATGCTGGCTGGGGGAGCGTTGTCGGCGCTTCGGCGGGTTTTTCCAAGGGGGAGGATTCCGGCAAGCTGGGGGAGAGGGCGCAGGCGGAGGGGGGAAGGAGGACAAGGAGGTAGAGGAGGAGGGGGAGGAGGACGGGCAGCAGGGCCGTGGCATGCGGCGATGGGACGACCATGATGGCGCGAGAGGCGAGATACGAGAGGAGAGGCGCGTCAAGACCAGGCGACAAGACAAGCAGCGCACTCTGTAGAAGAGGAGGCGCTTTCGAGAATTCTCAAAAGCTCTGAGTAGGAGAGGACGCGTGTGTGGCGTGGGCTGGAAAAGGAGACGTGAGAGAGCTTCTTGGAAAGAAGAAACGACGAGGCTTCAGTCGCTTGAATGCGGGGCTTGGGAGCGAATGTGAATATGCTGAAGTGCGTATCTTATCAAGTGAGTGGCGCTGCCTACGTCGCAGTGCCACCAACTGATGAGTGAATTCAGAATCCCCCGAGCGTAGTATCTACACTCTCGCGACGTTCCGCCGTGCACCTGCGCAAGTGAAAAGCGGCGGACTCAGCGCAGCGCCATCCTCGCAGCCAGCGCGCTGTCAAGCTCTCCGCTGCCCGTCACGGGGGAAGAGCTTGAGCGCGACCACTGCTCGCCGTGCATTCGAGGCGGCGCGGCGAGGAGGAAAGTGCGAAACGCGAGTTCCGCGAATGCGGGGCAGCCGGCGGAGCATGCGGGACCGATCGGCCTCCAGGGAGGCGCACGGCGTGTCATTGGAGCCCAGGGGAACGATGGCTTGTGCACCGTGATTATGGGGCGATGGAAACTGTCGAACGACTGCGGGATCAACGGCGCCCGTTCGTGGTAATGGTGTAATTATGTGAGCTCTGATTGGGGTTGTTGAAAACAGCTGGCGAAGCGAAACGAGAATTACTTGGAATCACTGCACTGCTTGGGCGTTATTTCCATTCCACAGGAATTGGAGGGAAGAGCATTGATGAAAGTACCGTAGAACAAATGGGTAGTGTACATAGACTTGTGCAGGCAAGCGAAACAATTTAAAATGCAGAGACATACTGCTCAATATCTAAACTCACTAGCCCTCCTAACATTCTTTTCCTTTCCCACCTTTCCTTCCTCATTCCCTCTCCCTCGCCCTCTCCCCCCTTCTCCCCCTCCCCCCCTCCTTGGCCTGACAAGGAACGGAGCACCTAGGGCCTGAGCAATGGCTTCTCGGCCGAACTTGCGCAGAATGTATCTCACGTCCAGCCGCCCAGCCGCCACCAGCTGCACGTCTGTGGGGAAGCCCCGCCCCTGCCTCTCCACCACGCCCCCCCTCACCGCCTCCTCCCACACCGCCCTCTCCTCCTCGTCCCATTCTAGGAGAGGATCAGGAGGAGCAAGGGGAGGCAGCGGGGAGTGGGCGGGTTGAGGAGGGGTGAGAGGCTGGGAGGAAGGCTGGTGAGATGGGTGGGGAGTGAGTAGCTGAGGGGAGGGTGGTTGGGGGGACGGGGGGAGCAGGCCCCAGTGGCGGAGGAGGAAGGAGCGCACAGCAGCAGCAGCCACGTGCTCATCTGCCCAGTGCCCGCGGCCCCGCTTGCTGAGCCGCACGCCCAGGTAGTCTGCCACTGCCCCCGGGCCCCCACTGCGCCGCACCGCCGCCACCAGCTGCTCGCCCTCCCAGGCACCTGCTGGGCCTTGGGACACGGCAGACGCACTTGCAGAAGCACACTCCTCCATGCCTCCACACCGCCACTCTGATGCCACCAGCTGCTCTCCCTCCCAGGCAGAGGCGTGGGGCGTGACACGGGGAGAGTTTCGTGACCCACGCTCCTCCGATTGAGTGGTTGGGGTTGCTGGAGGAGCGGCAAGGGCGAGAATTTGGGAGGAGGTGGGGAAGGTGGAAAGGCCGTGCGTGAGCATGAGTGCTCTCACCCTGCCTGCTGTCACCTCCAGCATCTGCTGCCGCGCCCCCCGCCCCACCCGCCTCCTCAGCCTGCCGTCACCACCACTGCTTCTCCCACCGTTGCTGCTCTCAGCGTTGCCGCTTTCATCACTACCATTTCCCCCTGATTGAGAGTGAGCGCGAGTGTCAGTGTGAGCGAAATTGTTAGTGTGAGACAGAGTGTGAGTGTGAGTGTGAGCGTCACCATGAGTGCGAGTGTGAGTTTGAGTGTGAGGGTGCAGGGTACCACCCTCCCAACGCACCACCACACTCTCCAGCCCGCCCCAGCACCCACTCTCACGGCCCAGCTCCCTGGCCACGAGGCGGTAACCACCATGCAGCACGATGGCATGGTGCAGATCGTACCGCCCTGCACCCACCACATCCCTCACACGCGGCATCACCGCACTGCCTTCCGCACTCGCCACCACCAACCCTTGCCCGTCATCAAACACACTCCTGCTGCTGCCGCCGCTGCCATTGCTGAAACTGCCCTCTGCTTCCCACCCAATGCTTCCAGTGCTTTCGCTGATGCTGCTGCTGCTGCTGCTGCCGCTGCTGGTGAAGGCAGTAGCAGCAGCATCTGAGGGCCAACAAGTGGCTCGCTGCAACAGCTCAGAAAAGGAAGGCTCTGCTGTTTCACCAGCAGCAGTATCACCAGTAGCAGCACTACCATCGCCACCACTGCTATGATCATCAGCAGCATCAGTACCACCTCCACTTTCATCACCTTCAGCAGCAGCACTGCGACGAGCGCGAGACGCAGCGAGAGCAAGAGCGACAGCTCGGGCAGCAGCAGCAGCGGCGGCCATGGCAGCACGCACCGCCTCTTCATCCCTCAGCACCGCACTCAACACCTCCCCCGACAAGAAGTTGCGGAGCCGCACCCGACCCAGATACAAACTTTCCGTGGTCCCCTCCCCCTTTCCTCCCTCTGCTTCCTCCTGCCTACTCTCCGTGTCACCGCACTCCACCACCCAGCACCGCGACACAAACGCCTCGATCTCCTCGTCCACGTTCCCCAAGTCCTCCCAGAAACCCGTCGGGCGGCGCCGGGCGGCAAACCCCAGCGCCTGCGCCACTGCAAGCTGGCCGCCGGCAGCGCTGATGTCAGCGATGAGGTCATGCCGGCCGGCTGCTCTGAGCTGGCGGATAGTGGGCATGACGGGTGGGGCGGGGGTGGTGCAGGGTGTTTTGAAGTTGGGGGGTGTGAAGGGGGCTGTGAGACGAGAGGCAGAATGCCGCCGCCGCCGCTGCTGCTGCTGCTGTTCCGCCAGCTGAGCACAGAAGGCGAGCAGCTTGGGGCGGAGGGCGTGCAGGCGCACGGCCTGCCAGCCCAGGTCGAGCAGGCCCGGGGGGGGAGCGATGGTAAGGGCTGCTCGGTGGGGGTGCGCGGCCACGAGAATGGCGGCCTCTAGCGGGATCAGATGCTCCACTGGCGGCAGCGGGGCGAGGGACGTGGGGGAGGTGGGGGACGCAGGGGAGCCGGGGGAGGAAAGTGGGGCAGAGGAGGAGGAAAGGGTGGTCCAGTCAGCCTCTTCCATGCTGTCCTGCCACGTCAGCGTGGATTTGCCTTGTCCGCTTCCTCGTCTGCGCCCGCTGCTGTTCCCCATGCGCGCAGCAGGAGGAGCGTCCCCCACCACGCGCATCACATACGCGCGAATGCCCTCACCTACCGCCTTCCTCCTCCCTCTCCTCATCCACTCCTCCATCTCCCCTCCCAACCCCCATTGCCTCGTCTCTTCCCATCGCTCCTCCGACCCCCCACTTTCCCCATCCACCTCCTCACCCTCCTCCCCTTCCTCCCCCACCACCTCCTCTCCAACAGCCAGCCCAACCCAAGCACCAAAGCCACCACCACCGGCACTACTATCATTGCCCATGGCGTCTGCAGCCCCCCCAACAGCGGCCACTTCAATCACCTCCTCCACTCGCCCCACCACCCACCTCCTCCCCTCATACCACCCCTTCTCCTCGCCCTCCCAAGGCCCCTCGGGATCGCCGATCGTCCCAGCGTTAAGCTCGGCGGCATTGGGTGCGGCAAGCTCAACGCGCCACCCCTCGATGCTGATCAGCCCTTTCAGCACCTCCTCCCGAACGTCTCGCTCTGCCGAACCGACTGAACCAGACTTCCGAACGTCTCCTTTCTTCTTCGGTTCGGACTTTCGCCCCACCCGACGGGCCTCCCGAACCTCCTCCGTACTCCATCCTCGCGATATAGCCCCGGCTCGGCAAGAACAAGCGTCCGGGGCTGGTAAGTCTGTTCTGTCGCTCAGTCTCGGCAAACGCGGGTGCTTAGGAGTGATTACGACTCGGGCGGGGAACGCAGGAGGCGGAAACGTGAGAATGGAGCAGTGAGTGCGACGCGCGAGGGCGCGGGAATGAGGGAGAGTGAGAGACATGCGACAAAAGTCAATGGCAATGCGGTTTGCTGTGTGGGAGAAAGGAGGTGTATCGGGGAGGCACCACGAAAGTCTTACGTCGTCACATCAGCACTCTGGTGCTGCGCTGGTGGAATCTCACGACTTGTGTAGGGTCCGAGCAGGAACCTCGCTTTGCTGTTGGGTTGGGTGGTGCCCTCATACCGAATGAACTCGCTAAGAGTGTTCCCGAACGTAGTGTATGGTGCAGGCAGGGACTCGGTGAGGTCTACAGTTAACAGAGGCAGAGTCAGTTTTGTTCATGCGATCAAATTCTTGAGCCTCTAAACAGAAGAGAGCATTTTGTTGCAGCACAATAGATTGGGACTCCAAAATGGAAGACCATCCTAGACAGGAATGCACCCTAAAAAAGAATATATTTTCCAAACGCACGCATTATACTTGCCCGGTTTTCATACCTGAATAATTAACCAGCCGGATCTCAAGTACCACAAGTGTTTTGCAATTGACATATGTAGGTGTTCTGTTATTGGATGGCGAGTTGTGAAAGTTGACAAGCACGCAGCTGTCAAACTGCATGTTTGTGTTCTCTCTACGCTATAGTGGGTTAGCCTACTGTTGGAAACAAGTTACCTAAGCGCTTCTGATGTGCCGAAACACCGAACTGCAAGCGAAGCGAACTACAGCGAAGCATCGGTGAGTCAACAAAGGAGGTTGACAGAAAATGTAACTGCTGGAGGTTACGCGAAGGTCAAAGGTCGCTGACCTTTGACTCGACAAATACAACACGACAGCAGTTGCCCGAGTCGTCACTGTATCGACCCGCAACAGCAACAGTAAAACGGTTATTGCATCCTTTCACATTCCTTGTAATCTTATAAAATGCTTGAATTATCTTTCTATAATAAATCTACTTTGCCCTCACACACTAGCGCAAGGTGGTTCAACACTTATCATTCAAACGCTTCCGCAACTACAACACTTCTACTCAGAGTTTAGCCTTGAAAAGATCCTAAGGGCTTTTCTCAGCCCAAAATCTACAAGGGGTACAACACTTTAAGGTTAGTAATTGTACCCAACTCATTCATAGTTCATTGATTCCTGCAGAGTTGATTCTGACATGGTATTCAAAGCAGGAAACCTGTTAGGTTTTTAGGGCCCACCGATCGCTCCGCTAGTTCCTTCCCGAACCGCCCTTGCGTTGTCCGGCCCTCTCGCACAATGTCACGCTGCCCTGCAGCTACTCGCACTGCCTGCCCTAGCGCGCTGCCCTGCTGTCACGCGTGCCAGCGCTGCCCGCGAGCAGCTCGTGCCCCGCGCGCCCCTGCTGCTCGCGAGCAGCCCCTGCCTTGCGCGCCCCTGCTGCCCGCGAGCAGCCCCTGCCCCGTGCGCCACTGCTGCCCGCGAGCAGCCCCTGCCCTGCGCGCCATTACTGCCCGCGAGCAGCCTCTGCCCCGAGCGCTCCTGCTAACCGCGAGCAGCCCCTGCCCCGAGCGCCCCTGCTACCCGCGAGCAGCCCCTGCCCTGCGCGCCCCTTCTGGCCACGAGCAGCTCCGCAGCCCAGCGCGCCCCGCAGCCCTAAACGCGCCAGCACGCCCCGCAGCCCAGCGCGCCAGCGCGCCCTGCTGCTAAGCACGCCAGCGCGCCCCGCAGCCTGGCGCGCCAGTGCGCCCCGCAGCCCAGCGTGCCAGCGCGCCCCGCTGCTAAGCACACTAGCGCGCCCCGCTGCTAAGCGCGCCAGCGCATCCCGCAGCCCAGTGTGCCAGCGCGCCCCGCTGCTAAGCGCCAGCGCGCCCCACAGCCCAGCGCGCCAGCGCGGCCCATTACGAAGCGCGCCAGCGCGCCCCGCTGCTAAGCGCGCCAGCGCGCCCCGCAACCCTAAATAAATAATAATAATAATGTTTAATTCTAAAAAAAGAGCGTTAGCGCGCCCTGTTGCCCAGTGCGCTACTGCTGCACACGCTGCTACTGCTGCGCTGTGCCTTGCCGAGCAGCGCTGCCCAGGCCGAGTCGCGCCGCCCAGCTCGAGCCGCCTTCCTGCTACTACTGCTGCTGCTGCTACTGCTCGTGCTACTGCTGCTGCTGGAGGTGCTGGAGGTGTTGCTGGGAGTGCTGGAGGTGCTGCTGGTGCTGGAGGTGCTAGACTTGCTACTGACTGTCAGTGCCTGTCATGGCCACTATCACGGTAGTTGCAGCGGCTAGGGGTGGACAGCAGCTGCCACTTCCTCTCCCGGACGACCCCACCCCTCAGCAGCTTCGTGAGTGGATTTTGCAGCGATGCAAACCTGGTGGTGGAGGTTTAGGTTTTATGGGTATGGCACAGAGGCGGCAGCAGCGTCCGCAGTGCACCTTCTCCATGCAGCGGCCTCGCGACTGTGCTTCTCAGCGGTACGTCTCTGGTTGTGTAGAGGCTGCTGCTCTAGGTGCTAGTGAATCTGCTGCCGCTCCAAATGCTAGTGAGTCTGCTGCAGCTCTAAATGCTCGTGAGTCTGCCGACACTCTAGGTGCTAGTGCGTCTACTGCCACAGGTCCTGCCTCAGCTGAGGCCTTGCACACTTTCACGCTTGACTCAGGTGCGTCACGTTGCTTCTTTCGTGATTGCACCACAGTCACACCACTCGCAGAACCTGTCCCAGTCTCACTGGCTGATCCCACTGGGGGCCCAGTAGTTGCGCAAGCCTCTACTGTCCTCCCGTGTCCGGCAGTCCCTTCCGGGTCTCTCTCAGGTCTACACCTCCCCGCGTTCTCGACGAGCTTGTTGAGCAACGCGGTTCTCCATGATAAATGGGTTGACACCTTTATTCCTGGAGGAAAGCATGTGGCGATCTGTACGTGCTCACGGACTGGCCGTCACCTTGCTACGTTCACTCGTCAGCCTGGGTCCGGCCTGTATACACTGACCACTGCGTCTACACATGTGGCTGAGTCAGGTCAGGAGACTGTGTCGAGTTGGGTGTCTGTGACTGGTCAGCTTGCAGCGTCTTGCTCGTGTCGGGTACTCTCTCACCGGAATCTCCTCTGGCACCATCGCCTAGGTCACCCCTCGCTGCCGCGTCTCCGCAGCATGCACTCCCGTCTCCTTGTCTCTGGCCTTCCCAGGTCCCTACCCTCCCTACCGCGCTCGCCTGCACCGTCGTGCCTTCCCTGCGTCGAGAGGTGGCAGCGCGCCGCCCCTACTCCTACGAGTTTCCTCCGACCACTGCTCCTCTGCAGACTCTCCACATGGACGTTTGGGGCCCGTCCCGCGTCGGTGGAACAGACCAGGAGCGCTACTTCTTGCTGGTCGTTGAAGACTACACACGCTACACCACTGTCTTCCCCTTGCGGCGCAAGGCGGACGTCAGCGGTGTTTCGATCCCCTGGATCCGTGCTACTCATCGCCAGCTGCGCGAGCAGTTTCATCGAGACTTGCCAGTCCTGCGTTTGCACTCTGACAGGGGCGGTGAGTTCTCTTCTGGCCTCCTTGAGGAGTTCTGTCGAGACGAGGGCATCCACCAGAGGTTCACGCTTCCGGCCTCTCCTCAACAGAATGGGATTGTTGAGCGTTGCATTGGCTTGGACATGGAGGTTGCTCGTACCTCCAGTACTCCTCGGAGAATAGCTCGTCGACGTGCACCCAACACACAGCACGTCATCCACCGCACCAGCCATGCAAGAGGGCATGGCACCTACTGCTGCACATCGTCGTCACCGTCGCTCACGTCGGCCAGACGCACTTGGCCGATTGCAACGGAGCACCGGTTGAAGGCCGGATAATGCAGCGCCTTCGTCAGAAAGTCGGCCGGCTGCTGGTCGGGATGTACTTCAACGAAAACTTCCCACGCTTCACCATGTGCTGCAGCCAGGCTAGTCGCCGCTCCATGTGCTTGAGGTTGCCTGTCAACCCCATGCCCTCCGCGACCGTGATGGCCAACTTGTTGTCCACCCGAAGGATGGTCGGCTTCCCGTCATCCAGCTGCTGGAACTCTGCGAGGAGGAAGCAAAGACGACGTCCCTCCTTGCAGGCTTCAGTGACCGCCACGTACTCCGACTCGGTCGACGACAGCGTCGCGCCCTTGATGCGCTGGCTTGATTAGAAGACTGCAGCCCCTCTGTAGACAAACACATAGCCGCCCTGGCTCATCCGGTTCTGCTTGTCACCGGCGTCGTCGGCGTCCACGTAGCCGACCAGCTCCAGCGACTCTCGTCCACCGCCGAACTCCAGGGCGGTGTCACGCGTGTTGGCGAGGTAGGCGAGGCAGCGGTCGACCTCGTGCCAGTGCTGGTTGTTGAGAATAGTGACACAAGTAGGAGTTAGGTTTAGGGCCTAGGCTTGGTAGCCTAGGCCAAGGGGGAGTCGAGAAATTTGTGCCAAGAGAGAAAGTCGAGAATGGGAATGGTGTTCACTATAGCACTAGGTACATATAGCAAACAGAGCATGCAAAGAAGGTGCACCACCAACAGTTTATAATAACTACACTAAACTACAGCTACAGGCAGTTACAGATATATTCTAACACTCCCCCATAACTGCCTGCAGCAGGAGTTTGTGCAGAACACAACCTGCAGGGGTACACCAGCAACAGCAACAGCAGGCACGGTAACAGAGCAGGTACAGCAGCAAAGGGGCAGGCACTCCTGCAACCCCTTTACTCTCCTCCCCCCCCCCCCCCCCCCCCCCTCCACCTCAGAGAGACGGGGGCTGGTTGGTCTCACACCCGCCACCCCAATGCCACTCCCCTGGCTCCCCCACGCCCTCACACCCTCCCCCCAGCAGCAGCTGCAGCAGTGGGAACGAAAGGAGGAGGAGGGGAAGGGAAACATACCACCCATCACCCCCACAACCGCCACCCCCAGACCCTCCCCCCCACGGCTGCAGGGAGACGAAGGAGGGGGGGGCGAGGGGGGGGGGGGGCGGGGACAAAGCCGCAGAGCGGCTACAGAGGGTCGGCGCGCTGTAGGGCAGGGGCGGTTGCAGTGGGTGCAGGCACGGGGTGAGGTAGAGGCGCCGTCGCGGGCGCCAGGGGCGGGTCCGCAGCGGCTCAGGGCACCGTCGCGAGCGCCAAGGGCG